TGTTACTAGTAACGTTCTTGTTACTACTAGTAAGGCACCTGTTACTACTAGCGTGGCACTTGTTCCTAGAATGCATTTGGGGGGAGGGAATCCAGGATCCTAATGTACATCTTGTAGAAAAAGCGGTTCTTATCGTTCTTATCATGACCTCTGGTTCTCTTGGAATGGTCGAAGGGTGGACCTTTCAGTGGTGCCAGCGGCTCGATGTTTTTCAATTGAGTTCTGCAACTCATCCCCACAAACCAATAACAACAAAGTTTAACTTTATGTTCCTTTTTGTTAGCCCGCTCCGGACCTAATAATTATATAAGTAGGTGCCCACTCAATCAAGTAAGCGGGAAAGTTCACTCCTGGCTATTTAATCTACCACATATGGACGCAGGATAGCTCACGCGCCTTCAATGAAGCTCAGCCCCGCCAAAGGGTGGGGCTGAGCTTCCTTGAAGAAGCGCTTGCACTAGTGATTTGGTTCCTAGATTTCAAAGGAAGCTTCCACAATCCTACTGAAGGACCCATGAGCACCCGGGCTGGGCCACGCACGCTCTGGTCTCCACCAACAGCACCCCCCCGCACGCTCTGGCCCACCACCGTTGCCCAGTGCCATGTCGCCGTTGGACTCACGATAGATCTCTTCCAGAACTGCTGGGAAGGAGCGTCCACTAAAGCAGTCCTTCAGGATAAACCCACCCAAGTTCCACCTGAAGATGAAGACAAACACGCAGATGTTGCAGGTGAAGCGGCCCACTGAACGAAATAAACATTTGCAGACTCAGTTCAACTCAGCCATGCCTCAAGCTCTCTGCATATGAGATTCGCCAGTGCTCCGGGAAGGCCGCATTCAAATACTTCCTAAAGCAAGTGAAGCTTCAGAAAAGAGTCGGGAGCTACATGGCATTGGCATGTCCAATTTCTGTACACACAAATGGCTGGGGCAGTTGGACGTCCAAGAGATTGGCTGACTTTGAAAGGCTCGATTTCAAAGGCATCAGCTCATTCGACCGTCCAAAAAGGCATGTTAACTGTTAGCTAACTCAACCACATTGATGTGGGAGCGATGCTGGCTGTATAGTGTACATTGTAGGGATTACTATACGAGGGGAAAATAATTGCATGGATAATTACTGTAACAGTGGAAAAAAAAACATAATGTTATGCCCTCACTTTCGACTTCTTCCGAAATGGTGCCTTGGACTACCTATCCCATCCCATCGCTGAAACGAGACGGAGATGCCAAGAGACAAATGCTGATCGGCGAAATTGGTGTGCGCTTGCAACAGCCCGCCTCAGGTGAAGCCCATGGGCAATCGAATACATCAGCACTGATAGACTTATGGCTCATGGGCTTTCTGAAGCTGAAGCCTCAGAGCTTTGGTGGACACATGTGAGAATGTTTGTCAATGACTCCCCTGTGGACATATGCGGCGTCAGGAGTGGTTGGACTCATGTCATTCGCCATGGAACTCAGGAGGGTGATGAGACCTCGAATCCGCGTGCTTTCCGCAAAGAGGGCGCACTTCACCTCCTGAAGATGCTGGGCTTGGCTTCCGAGGAACGATGTGGATGAAGACAAGCGCGTTTGAACGAATTCCCCTGGTTTGTATGGCAGCTTGTCTCAAATGGCTGATGCTCTCCTTTTCTGTGTTGGTCGTCCTTGGGTCCACCGTCCACATGCTTCAGTTCAGTTCTGTATTTGCTTTCTCCATATCATGATTGCCTGTGCAAGCGTGCCAACAAAAAAAGCATCCTTATCAAATCTAAGAGAAGCCACACTGCCTCAGCAGAGAAGCACCGCTCGCGGGGAATGCCCATGCGGTTGGCTCGCCGGGCACCCTGGTGGGCGGAAAAATAACACGACCCCTGACAAAGGCTAAAGGAAACACGGATGTGACTAGTGTTATAAAAATAAAATCATATGCTAAGGCCAGAATCCGTGATTTAAAAAAGAAAATCAAAAAAAGTCAAAAAACAGTCAACTGGAAAAGTCTAAAAAAAGTTGAGAAAAAAGAAAAGGTCAACCGTAGGCCACAGCTCGAAAAAGTCAAAAAAGAAAAATCGGAAAAAAAATCCAAAAAAAAAGTCAAAAAACAGGTCAAATTGAAAAGTAAAAAAAAGAAATCAAAAAATGTCCAAAAAAAAGTCAAAAAAGAAGTCTGGGCAAATTTCTGGGCAAATTGACTTTTTTTGACTTTCTGAAATTTGCTGATCTGACTGTTTTTTGACTTTGACTTTTGGGATTGACTTTTTTTGACTTTTTTTTAAATTTAGAAAACAGGCTCTTTCCAATGAAAGATGTTTATAAGACTAGTGTGTATGACCAAGTTGGGAGGAGCTGGAAGCCAATAATCAAACAATCAACAAAAGCAGGTCTCCATTCTAATTAAAGCTCTTCGAAGCTTCTCAGCTGATCGCTGTCAAAAGGCCTTGTTGCTTGCCACTGCTCAATCGATCTGCATTGCTTGCGGCCCGCCTCAGGCTGCAACAGCATGAGCCGCAGGCGCAACTTTGGAGAGTGCCGCAGCCTCAGGATGGCAAAAACACCTCGACTGTGGACCTCACTGTACATCATTGGGGATGATTTCAGATCTTTGACAAGTGGTGTGCTGAAAAGTCAAGGGATTCTTCCTAACATCACCAGGGAGTGTGCCGCCAACCCTCGTGCCTTCCTCGCTTTGCCTTGGAGAATCAAACCTCACCCACCAGCGTCTGGCAGACCCCCCACAGCTCTTCCTGCCATGTTACATCGACAGCGACATCATCAGGTTGGCAGAGTCTTCCTCAACTTCGTCCTCCAACAAAAGCTTCGCATTACCCTTGCGACTGCATAAGATGCACTGAAGATTCATGTGCTTTCCAGTAGTCAAACACAAAATAACACCGAGACGTAGGTGGAGACGTATCTCTTCTCTACAAGTGACTTCCGCGTTCCGGGTTGCTGTCGCAGATCGGGTCGCTGGGATCGGCCCCAGCCGTGTCGAGCCCGGCGCGGTGATCGCTCGCGGAGGTGGGCGTCGGAGCAGACGTGTGGGTTGGCGGAAGAAGCCCAGCATTTTGGACCCAATCGCTCCTCCGCAGTGTAGTCTGGAATGACAAAACAAAGCCGTGAGGTTTGCACTTGCCTTAGTAACAGGAGTCTGGCAAACTGGTAGTGTCACTGCCAAAGTAGGTCAGATTGATTCAGAACCTTCTTGGCAGGCGGAGGAAATGTTTTTCTGGACTATAAGGATCACGGAATTCACAGATACCAGGTACAGTACTAGGTATCTCATCTCCACTGCTTGCCTGCTTCTGCCGCGTTGCGCACGTTCCAAGTCACGTGCATTCAACACAGACCCGCGCAAGAAGAAGACCCTCGAGGATTGTCCTGCACGGAAGCTCAGGGAAGGGAAACTAGATATTTGGATTGCTGTTAGAGTTTCTGCAATTGGTCTGCAATCCACCAATTGGATTATATATATATAACGGCAAAATGGATTGATGTTGTCACTTTGTCTGCCACACGTCTTTTTCCTCTTTCTCAAAGAGACTTCCCAGATCTCCTGGCCCCAATTCAGTTTCCACAAAGGCTTTCAAGTCAAAGTCGTATTCCTTGTCACTCAAGAAGACCTGGGTCAATCATGAAGGAAGTGACTTTGGCATAGAGCAGTCATGCAACCCATTGATGCGGAATCCGGTCAGAGGATGTCCAGAGGTTGGTGGGATGCACTTGCTTTAAACATGGAACAGCTGCCACAAAGAAACAACATAATGTAGACTCTTGATCAATAGACCCACCCCAATTGGATTGAAAAATATTGAAAACCTCTTCCTATGAGGAGGTTATTAACCAAGAGTCTACATTATGTCGTACCGAATGGAACCTTGTATATACATAGTTTGAAGATGCTTGAAGCAAACAAACCGAATGAGCTCAATCCCCGTCTTTGATACAGCAGAATCTGCATGCAAAAAAAACTTAGCAGCTATCTCCTTGTCCCATCAACTCGTTTGTGCACAATCAAGGCCAGCAATGAAAGGTCTTCTACCTCTAGCCTCCTCAGGAGGAAGCCCTGAATTGTAGTCTCGATGTTACAGCAACTGCAAACTCACCACAAAACCTCAACCCACATATGGAATTAACTGGTCTGGACAAACGTACCATCGGCGTCGATGGAAAAAACAAAAGCAGCCTTTGTCTGATGGATCCAAAAAGCTAGATCTGGGCCATCGGAGTTCCAGTCATCCATCAAAGTTTCCAGCAGCAAAGTCTCCATCAAAGGCGATGACATGTTGCATCCATTGCCAGTGATCAGGATGTGACTCCGCATCACGCGTCGCCCTGCAATCAGGGCAGAGATTGGGTCTCAAAGCAAGGGGCCTTGACTATGAACAAGGCACACATATTTCCAAAATACCAGTACCAAGGGAAAAATACATGGATAAACAAATCTCATGGTCGATTGGTAGAGATCTCAAGCCACACACTGCGGTTGCCGCCCTGCCGCCTGAAAAGAAACCGAAGAGCCAATTCCTCAATTTCGGTGCAACTTTTGAGCGTGGGTCACACAGCTTGGCAGGAGATTCGTGGCACCATGAGCCTGGTTGATCGCAAAAAAGACAGAACAATGGGATGCTTTCAACAATTAATATTTTTGCCCCAAAGAAATGTCTGCAGGGAATGAAAACATGAGTTGCAGAGAATTAAATCCAGACTTATATAGTTCCGTTGCTCTGGCTTTAACTCCTTTTCGCTGAACATCTTGGGCGCATGCAACTTCGGCCCGGAGAACGTGAAAACATGACCATTTGCCCACTGCTATGAAGGAAGGGACCCAAAATCAATACCTCTCGTGTTCATCCGAGCATATCCCCGGATGACAAGTCATTTTGCCATCTCAATTTGTTTCGCCTGTCCAAGGAAGAAACCCAAATCATCTTGAGGATGGGTGGGAGATGGTAGAAAGAGATCCTCAAATTTGTCCACCCAAGTCTCCATCCTCCATTTGTTCCCTCAAACTATGTCAAACATTATCCCGGCAAGAGACCCCAAACAGTGCATTTAAGGTCTAGAGGTTCCAAAGAAAGGTGATGGTGGTGATGAAGGTGGAGATGGTGGTGATGGGCGGTGGTGGTGTTGGTGGTGATGGTAATTGGTGATTGGTGATTGGTGATTGGTGAGTGGTGGTGGTGGTGGTGGTGCTGGTGGTGGTGGTGATGATGGGGGTGGCGAAGAGATGGTGGTGATGGTGGTGGTGATGGGGGTTCGCAAGGCAGGTGGGATTGGAACTGAAGGTCTAGGTCCAGAGGAGGAGGAGGGGGATGCCTGAGTACACAAAAGTCTGCACTTCAAGGTCCCACAAAGTACCTGCCACGAAATCTGCATGTCAGGTCCACAGAGCACTGCGCCTATCACGAGATCTGCACCTCAAGGTCCACAAAGTGCTGCGCACTTCAAAGTTGACAAAGTGGTGCACTGCCACAAAGTCTGCACTTCAAGGTCCACAAAGTGCTGCGCCTGCCACGAAATCTGCACATCAAGATACACACCACGCAGTCCTGCCAAGGCGATTCGCAGCAAGAGCACTTCCAAAGACAAGATCAACATCCCAAAAAGCAGCTTTCGCTCGAGGCTTCCTCCGATTTCTGAAGTCGAGCCACATGTCCAAGTCACGGCTCACTGCACCTGCCACAAAATCAGAGCGCGCCGAAGACCAGCACCATGTCCAAAGTACTGCACCTGCCACAATAAATCTGTACATCGACATAAAGCCACTCCAGTCTCCTGCACCTGTCACGAAAAGTAGCCATCAAAACACGAAGTTTCCCTTCCGCCTGCCACGAAAAGTGATCACCAAGTCCGAAAATGCGCACGGCATCACAACGAGAGCGCAGTCCCGAACAGCACCCGCGCCAGCCTGCGCAGTCGAAATGCAGTTCGAAAATTCCGAGGTGCATGAATGTACTGTAAATAGCAGCGAATTAACCGAAAACGGATGCAAGCACCTCCGATCAGACACTCGTCCTTGACTACTACTGTAAGAACCCCTAGTGTGGACACACTGTTTCGGGAAAAAAGTGTTTAAAAACATATTATAATAGACAATAGAGCTGTCCATCCAAGCCTCCATCTGTTCACATAACATCCTCGGCCCTCCTCGGTGTCGTTGAAGAGGTCGACAATCTCTGCGGTCTCTGAACCGAAAAATATGACACCCCCGAAGATGAAGAAGATGATTGTGATCCTGCCATACATCAAAATACAATGCTAAGCTACAATGCTGCTGCCAGTACTTACAACTCTCCAACTGGGGCATCACGTCTTGGATGGCAACAAGACGTGTCTGAATTAGTAGGTTCCTATCTTAGCTGTGGCTTGTAGCCCGTTTTCCTCGGGACTTTGGTCGGCTAAAAGTCCCGAGCAAAAATAGCTAGGGTTTAGCTTGGGTGTGACCCAGCCAAGTACCAGTGGGAGACTGATAAAGGCCAAGTTGGGCCGAACCAAAAGTTGATAAAGGCCAAGTTGGCCCGAACCAAAAATCAAAAAAGAAGAGCATGGCCATGTTCATACAGCACTTTACGAGCAGCATACCTGTGTTAATAGGGCCACTATTCAAGGCAAAACAGAACTTCTCGAACGAGAAAGGCGACCTGAATGTGATTTCCAAGCGTGTGTGTGACCTCCTGAAAAGAACATTGCGTTCACGCAAGACTGCAGCGCAATCTTTTTCGACTTCTAGTGAGACTTCGTAGAGTATGCCACCCACGCCATACCATGCGCAATAGGACCTGAGGCGGTGTTGGACAAAAAATTACCATGAAATTGCGAAAACTTGTTGGAAATAAAGAGTGTCACAGGCAATGTTGTTTTCGATCTCTTTTGCCAAGTGCTTGTTTCGTCTAAGAGCAGCCATGTCAGTAGTGGCAACTCGACCTAGGTAATTGCACAAATTAGGCTCTCGTCTACCATCTGTTCTGGTAGGGATGCGCTATCAAATCAAGCCAAAGCAGATTTGTAGGAGCCATAAAAAGGCGGAAACGTGAGACCAAAAAAGGGCCTGCTTTTGCGGGTCCAGTCCAAAGCCTCCCCACGCCGACCCGCAATGCTCCCCATGTGCGGGCGGCGTGTTGGAACATGGAGCCGTAGATTGACGGGAAGCAGTCAGTGTAGTAGTTGGGTAACTAAACAAAAAACCATCTAACATTGGTTGTTTGAGTGTGAACATACAGAGGTATCGCTCCATTCAAATGCTCAAGCCTGACGCTGCATTCGTGCAGGCAATGGCCCAAAGACAAAGAGAGTTCTGACATCTGAACAGTCACTAACCACGAGTAACAAAAAAAAACATGTTTGCATAATCTTTTTTGGCAATGTTTATGTTTCAAACAAACGGCCTTTGCACACACAATCGACATCGACACCTACTTTCCTCACTTCAAAAGATGTTTTCCTAGTTTGCGCATCTCAGCTGTTGTCAGCGCCTTGTCGTCTTTCTTGTTCTTGTTCACTTTCTTTGGCTCCAAAGCACCATCATCGTGCAAAGCAACAAGGACAGCTCGAACTCCCACTGCAGATTCCTGGCCTGAAGGCTTCGGAGTTGATGCACTTGAAGGAGTTGGGGCAAGGGCGCCGGCCAACTTTGCTTCGGCCTCTTGCAAGGCGCTTTGCATTGCCTTGGCACGCGCAGACTTTTCCACCGTCTCTTTCGCAGCCAGAACGGTCAAAGGAATTGATGTCCGGGGTTTGCACGAGGCAAGTGCTTTCGCAATTGCCTCTTGGACATGTGCCTCCTCCTCTTCCGCATGCTTCAGCTTTTCTAGGTCAGCCTTGTTGTTTGAGACCTCCATCTGCAAACGTTCGATGTCATTGTCCACCTGTGCTTGTTGCTTCTTACGTTTCTTGGACTCTTTGGCTTCTCGGTTTTGGTTCCGTCGAAGTGCCGACTGAACCAAATTCTTTGCCGTCTTCTCTGCCTTCTCCTTGTCCTTTGCAAGATCGTCTTCGATCTTCTGCTGGAGATTATGAAGCGGCTTAGCAACCTGCAATTGTGCTTGCCCACGACCTGACTGCAATTGTGAAAACTGTGAAAACGGTTTACTGTCTACTGTAACATACCCAGAACAAAAACAAATCAAAAATGTTTGGCCAATAAAGCTTGAGCCACACACATGACCCCCAGCATTCTCACATTCAGCGATCAACTCCTTCACGGAATCAGAATTATCTGGCGTGATCAAGTGCAACGACATGTCATGTGGCCTTGCGTTCAAAGGGAGTAGAGCAACGAAGTCATTCCTGACCACATCTTGCTCCAAAAATGCATCAGCCGGCTTGGACACAGCTTTCACAGCCCAGGCAGGTACGACTACGTCAGAGGTGTTCAAGTCGATACCCTTTGGCTGCACATAGAAGTGCATACCCAAAAAGGTGCAGAACAGATGGGCCTGACTCTTGCTGGCGCTGCTGCTGGGTGGAGAACAGGAAATGGAACCCGCAAATGGCAAGCAAAGGCTTCCATGCACAGGGAGTTTGACAATGAATTGGTCTTTCTTGCCCTGTGCCAAATTGACCGTGATATTGGCCTCTCCTGCTTGGTGAGCATGGAACATTTGCCACTGCAGAATTTCAATCTTCCTCTCCAAGATCTTGACAAACACGGGCCCCATGACATCTCCAGCACTCCGACCACTCTCACAAATCCCCAGATTCTGCGAATCTTTCGAGAACTCAAGCATCTTGAAGCGTTCAAGCACACTGGCACTCCTGAATTCGTTGACAGCCTTCAAGTCCATTTCCGTGGTCGCCTTGCTGTTCCCAGAAGCATCATCAGAGTTGTCATCCTTCGTCTCAGACTCTGCTTCAGCAGGCTTTCCTGCGATTGACATTGGGCACGATTGGACAAACATCATGGACTCACCTCACCTCACCTCACCTCAAGAAACTATGAAGACGGTCTATTTAAAAACTGCTTTTGTTTACCGTCGCGCACCCTTATCATCGTCCTTCTTTCGCTGCTTTTGCTGAGGGGAGGCTGCCGCCAACTGCTTGGAATGCTCTCTCGGTTAGTCTGCTCTGAATCTTGCTCTCTTGAGCTTTGGTCGCAGAATCAGCAGACTGAGACACACCAGCACCAGCATCACTTTTGTCATTGGACATTGCACGGATGAGTTGAGCTGCATGAGCCACACTACGAACTTTCAAGAGAAGCTGCGACCATTCTCTCGCCCAGGACCTAGCAAACTGGATTGAGTCAAAGATCACGAGGGATTCAAACTCGGATTGTGACTCGTTGGAATCAAGCCCGACAAGACTCAGGATAATTTGTTGCCTTTCCGCCGGTACGTCGGCAACAGCCCGCTTCGGCAGGGTCTCCTTCAGGATAGCCAGCATGTATCTTAGGCGCAAGCTCACACATGACCGCAGGTTGTCCACAGTGCCAAAGACCTGCAAGAAGTGCCCAAGACTGTCACTCTGAGCACAGCTTTGCCCAACCACAACCCAAACGTCAATTGAACAATGACTCTGACTACTCCATACAATGATACAACAATTCTGTCCATCCGTCAGTCCATCTATGCAGCAACTCTCGCTCATGCAATTCCAAATAACACAAGAACAAACAAAGCTAAAATCAAAGAATAACTATATAACCTCAAGTACAGGCCTTGCCTTGTCAGTGTCTTCCACAAAGTGACCCCTGTCAGCATAGGCTGTGGCCACGTCAAACCCAAGCCCGCACCATGATGGTGAGATGTGCTCATTGATGGAGGTGCAAATGACCGAAAGAATGTCAACCAACTTTAGGCTGCTTGAGGATGATAGAGAGAAGATCTGCTGCATAGCATCTTGTGCGCTCGAATGCATGATGATCGGAAGATGTAAGGTGGAACCAATGAACTCCTTGATTTTTTTGATCTGATCCTTGTTCTGCATGGCTTCAGCAATGTTTTTTACTGTTTGCTCCTCAGGCTCATCTGAAACATCCCAGATCACGGCAGTGACAGGCTTGTCCAGGAAGGACTTGCAAAGGATTGCCGCTAATTCCAAGGGGTTGACCACCTTTGACTCCGTTGTTGAACCAGAGGGGCCGCTCCCATCTTCAAAGGGTGAACTGAGTTGCTCATTCGCCGTGGCCAAAGTTTGCTGGAGCTCAGGCCTCAAACTGCTGTATTGGCGAAACTCCTTGCCATTGACGCAAACTTTGCCAGTCCATGCAAACTCGAAGAATAGCGAAGCGCAGAACCCGTACGTAGTCATGACCCTCTCACTATTGATGTCCGCTTCTGAGAGCACCTTGGCTTCGACGAGCCAATCAAGCACATGGTCCAAAGCCTGAATCACGTTGTCCATTGCCGTGAGTTCGCGAGTCTCCCCAGCCGGAGTAGTGATGACAGTTTTGAAACTTGCTTTCTCTTTGTCATCGTACCCTTTGAAGAGACATTTCTTTTGCTGGACCTTGCCTGTCTTCTGACGCTTAGCATTCTTCTCACTGCTGCTGTTGTCACCGCCGGAACTCTTGGGCTCGACGCAACCAGCAGCATCTTTGTCCAGAGCCTCAACCTCAGCGTCTGTGCTGTCGACTGCCATAGGATCAGCAGCCCCCTCTCCATTTGCCTGCAGCGGCAGTGGACATTGGGATGGGGTGTTGCGTGAATCAATGTGACGTGCCTGATCCTTATCCACCCCCTAGTGTTTCTTCAGTCACATCAAATCAATCACTTTCTTCTGGTAACAAGTAACAATTGAACGCATCCAGCATTGCATCCAATATCAAAAATCAATAAATATTTAATTGTTAGTCGTTTTTGTTGAATCATTGAATCATTTGTCGTTTCCCTGCCTCCATCTCAGGTTTCTGCAACCTCTGATCCATCAAGAGTTTTTTCAGCTCTCCGGGTTTCAGCTGTATTCCCAAAGAACTAACCGAGCACAATTCCTTCTTGACTTGAAGGGTGACGTCCACTGGCTTTGGCTTGGGAGCAGAAGCACCTCCGCCACCAACACCACCTTTGCCAGTCGTTGATGTATCAGCACCCTTTGCCATTTTCCGCACAACAGCACTGCCAGCCATGGGTAAATTGATGAGGTTCATGATCTTGCTGTTCTCGGCCCCACCTTTGGAAAACACAAAGGTCAAGCTTCTCCCAGAAGCCTTTGCCGCCGCAGTCACGTTCGTCGTGGCAACCGGCACCTAGGAACTCAGGTGTTCGGTGCTCAGTTTTTGTATGTGCTAGTCATGAGTCA